TAGGTAAAGCTACAAGGCCTTTACTATTGTCTTATGTGTTGTACGTTTGTGTGCACTCTTGTGTTTTACGTTTGTGTGCACTCTTGTGTTTTGTGTTGTATGTCTGTGTGTGCGTATGTTCATATATCATATATGAGGAGCGCTCATGAAAAAATGGATCTGAATTTTTTTTATTCACGTGATTTAAATGGTTTAATTTAAATTAGGTAAACAGCTGTTAAGGATTGTTTTTAAAGGTGGTTAACAGATCTGTTTGTTTACTTCCACCTTTACTTTTCATTATATTTAATAATTCTGTTCAGGATAATGTCTCTTTAGCATCATTGCCAGAATTCCTATCTCCATCCCAGTGCAGTGAAGACAAAGATAAAACCAAACTACAGCTTCTATGATAGCTATCACAGTAAACTCTATAAACTGATGCATCAATGAATATAACTCAACAAGTAATGCTCAATCAAGGAGTCGACTTACTTTGGGAGAAAATGGACATATTGATAGACTCCTCCGCTTTGAACTGCTTGCAGAACTTGCCTGGACTATGTATCATTTGTATACATTGTGAACTATTGTTTGGTGCAGCGAATTGTGGTAGTGCTGGCATATCTTTGCTGATGGTGTCACCAGTGATGCAATTTTTCCAAAGGAGCCATCAATTGGCTTGGTGTCATGGCATTTGTGTATCCTCATCCCTTCTGCTAGTGATGGTCTAAAATTTGGGGGCCAACAGAGGTGAGGCAAAGAACCTCACCCCCCCACTGGCACCAAGGCCAAATTTGGGGGTCAACAGAGGTGAGGCAAAGAACCTCACCCCCCCACTGGTGCATAGGCCTATCCACAAGTATGGCTGTATGCTGGACTGGTAGTCAGTGACAGGTATGATCCAATTGCAGTGGTATCAACTTAAGACAGGAGGCTGACGCCTAGAGGTCAGTTTTTCCCATGACGGGTAAGAACCATATGTTGAATTGGACAACCTACCAGGCATGGTCCTTAAGCCGCATTGCTTGTTGTTTAATTAATCAGAAGGGGGGAGATGCTGAGAGCTATTGCCAAGTAGGAATGACGCATGGCATGACCCAGGTCATTTGCAGTGACATTGCTTGAAAGGTGACCTTGCTCAAGGACCAGGGCAGATCCTGGTTTATGGCGGATCAGGGTTTAGGGCTCTCCTTGGGTTTAGGGCGGTTCCAGGTTTAAGGTGTATCTGCTGGGAATAGGGTGTATCCTGCCGCCTCCAGGAGCCCGCTCCTTGAGTTCCTATTGAGTTCTCGAGGGATTCAGAAAGTATTTTGGGATACAGAGCCCAGTGGAGGTGTGGATTTCTCCAGAACTTGTTTGTAGAGTGCCGGTGACAGTTCGAGAATAAAGAATTGCTGTTTGAATCTACAAGGTGTGAGTGGGTCGTGATTTTGTGCCCAGCCAGACTGCGGCACACAAAGCTGTGAACCTTCTGTTTCATAGGTAGCTCAGGTCCCTGAGTTGCTGGGATTACAGGTGTGCGCACTGCACCTGACTGCCAGTGCTATCTTTTTAAGTCCTAATCTGATTATGCCATCCCTTGTGTTTAAAAGATTTCAAAGATTTCCTATTCAGTTAGACAATAACTCAAGGTCTTCTACCTTTGCCTACGAGGCCCTGTGTGATCTAGATACCTGACCCCTCTGCTCTTGTGACTAACTGCTGCCTTCTTGCCCTCTTTGCTCTGTCAGCTTGCAAAGCTTGTCCCCATTAGATGCATGAGATGACCTCTCTTCTGAAATGTCCTTATCCCAGATGCTGACCACGAGGTGCCTCAGTGGTGAGGGGGCATCCCCTCAGCGATAAGAGGGAAAGAGGCCCCCGGAGACCTATGCTGATATGGGGGTTGGACAGTCAAGTCCAGGGAATTAAGGAAGCTGTGGACCTTCCCCTCACCTGTCCTTAATAATTGAGAGATGGGTGTTAAGTCCCTAAGGGAGTCATTCTCTATGCTCCACCCAACACAGACAAAATCTTGTTCCAGTGAGAGCAAACCAAGTTCTTGCCCCGTTTTTGAGCGTAGATGGCTCCAAATTTATTTACAAGTACCAAGGCACAGGGCTCAAACTCCTCCAGCAATTTTTTCAAGTTGCTGAAGAATATGCATCATCTATTGTGTTCATTGATAAAATGGAAGCCCCAGGGATGATATGACAAGATTCAAACACTGGTGGAGAGAGAATTGAGTGAGCACTGCTGGGACTATGGGCCTAGGGAGAAGGATGTGATTCAGGGGAAGACTGGAAAAGTCATCACGGTCAAAAATCAAACAGAAGCTTTGGATCCTGCCCTCCTCTGACCAGGTCACACTGCCATTAAATCCAAGTTCCTACAGCCTGATGAAAAGATGAGCAAGGGCATCTTTCAAGGTCATACTAGCAGACAATGCTGGCCAATGACATAGCCTGGACGACTTGATCATGGCAAAGAGTGGCCACTCAGGTGCTCATGCCAAAGCCATCTGTACAGAAGCTGACCATGTCCTTGAGAGAATCTATAATGAAAGAAGCAAATGAAGACCTCAAAAAAACTAAAGAAAATGTTCTTTATAAAAAGTGAGGAGGCACCTGAGGGGCTGTACCTCTAGTGAGCATAGCTGTCTTCAGGAAGATGGCAGGGACACTCCCAATCTCTGAAGGGGAAGATACCCAGGGGAACCATGCTCAAGGCTATCTTGACCAGCAGAACATCCTGGGTGTCCTTTAGAGTGGGATGTGTAAGATGCCTATTGGGTGGCCTTCAGCTGCTGGTCACTGTGCCCCTCCCTGCTCCCCAATAAAGCACGCTCTTTCACACACACACACACACACACACACACACACACACACTACAGAACGAAGGGGGCAGCATTACAAAGATATGCAAAGGTTGAAAAACGAAAAATATCACTACCATCTACTTTGGGAAGACAAAAGCTAAAGTGAGATAAAAGCTTGTATTTTCAAAATAACCTTAACATGAACATGACTGAACTTTTCGGCCACACACTTGTACTATATTAGGCTTAAGAGAAGCACTTTTAAAAGTGCTTTTTTTTTTTTTTTTTTTTGGATTTTTT